CTCCCTAACACAAAGAGAAACACGACAAGAATACCCAAGGCATCTCCACATAGCCACATCAGTCGCCCTGCCAACCCACTAACAGCACACGCATCCCTGGAACAGGGAGCAACCCCAAGCAGGGAAACGAAAGAATAACGAAACAGGAAACAAATGGGCCTAAGCAAACCCACAACTAGAGACGATTGACTGGAGCATATAGCTAGATAGACAACACAAGACTTTCTGATAGACAACATACATGACGCCAGACAAAACATGGAAAAAGGGAGCTTAGGACACATGAGACACGAGCACACTAGGCATTAGGAGAGACAACAACCACAGAGACCAAGCCAGAGAATGGGACACTAACCCCCAGATGAGAAAAGAGGTATGAGCACACTAAAACTAAGCACAGCCCAAAAGCCTCACTACCCCACTGAGCATTTAAATAGCTAAGACACTGATGATCACCTGAGACCTCCAAACAAATGGTGATCTCCTTACAAAACACCCTAGTAATCAAGGTTTCAGAGGTGCTATGCATAACACTCTTGGGAACATGGAGTCCTCTCCAATGACACGCTACCACAAAAGAACATAGCGATTCTATAACGACATGTTCCTCTAACGATTAACACTGGACTAATACGTTTTATGTATGTTATGAAAATTCTGTAATAACCGAAGAAATACTTAAACATGTTTGTAAAATATTCATGTACGCTCAATAAAAACCCTTGGAATAAAAAAAAAAAAAGAAAAAGCTCTGCTTTCATTAGTTTTATGGTTGATGCTTCAGGCAAAATTAATTATGTAACATGGATTTCCTGCCAGTAGCCAGGACTGTGTGTATAGATTTAGTGTGGGGGGAAGAATGCCCAGTTTAGCCAATCTTGATGTTACTGATATCGTTAGTGATGTAGAGGTGGTCAAGAAAGTTTGAAATTTGATCCAGAACTGGGTCAACTCTGTGCATGACCAAAAAGAGTGGCAGAGTTGTCCAAGTTTGTGTTGGTGTTTTGATGAGTAGTATGTGTAATGGGCAATTTCCATATACATCTCTTGGCATGTTGGGGTCCTGCAAGGTTCTGTGATAGGTGGGATTGGACAATATTTAGAGGGTCCCAAACCAATTGCATTAGAACTTCGCCTGTTTCCTCGTCTGTACAATAGTTTTTTCATGTGATCGAGTTGTGTTTTGGCTTTTTCTAATAGTAATGACTCCAGTAGGCATTTGATTTTATATTTGCATTTGTTTCTTATAATGGCGAACCTAGATTTTAGGGATCCTCTCCATAAGTCTTGAAGTACCCATGAGGAAATGAGCAACCTGAGCAAGTAAATTATCCCCATGTAACGATATAATGAAAAAACATATACAAATATTAATAAAGAGAACATTTTGAACTAGGATGACCGAATCTTTATAAGGTGTAAATATTTGCATCACCCGCTAACAACCTAGAGAGAAGAATATAATGAAACATTTACAGGCAATGATATTTCAACTACATTTACAAAATGGCATTCAGGGTAGTGCCTACATTTAGGTGAGATAAATGTATCTGAGTTTGTCTTCAGCTGCATCTATGAATCCAGCAAGTAGATGTGTTCTTGGTAAGTTATCTTGAGGCAAGCAAGGAAAAGTAGCATACGTTTGATTTTCCTCTACAAACCTTTTGCAAATGGTGTGAAACTCTTTGTGTTTATTGGTTACAGATTTTCAATAGTGCTGGAAGATAAAGAATTTAGAGTCCTGGTATTTTAGGTTAATGGTGTTTAAATATACTTTTAGGATGGCTTCCATGTCAAGCAAATTGAGTAGTCTGATCACAGGTCTGTCTATCATGATTATTGTTTTGATGATCTTGGCCAACTCAATGGCCTCACTGAATATGAAGGGGTTTATCAATATCATATGGAAGACTATGGAGAGCCAATATTAAAGTTTTGGAATCAATGCAGCTGTCTTGATGGTTACTGGTAAACCGACAAAACATAATCGTCAAATAGTCCAGCATTTGTTGTATCTGTTGAGGGTGAAAATTCACCTTGTGTTGTAAAGAGGTGAGGAGGTCTTCCTGGTTAACAACTTTGTTGTTGTTCCAAGTGATCCAGTCTGGAGGAATTGAACTCAATGTCAGTGGAAGATTTATTTCCAAAATTTTAGCTTCAAAACGTGGCCAAAGAGTTACAGAAATTTCTGCAACTATTGGCGTGACATAGTTGCAGTGGCGGGAGATGATATGTCATCCATATCACAGCTGGTAGACTCATTGTTTGTTTCAATTAGATTTTGTATGAAGAACATTTAACATTGTCATATTTTTCTATTTTTATGTAATTGAGCAGGCAGAGGTGGTGTATGGTAAAGGATCAGCACTGTACATGTGTCTTGATTATTAGGACAAGTAGTTATAAGAATTTGTTCAGTAGTAAGGCATTTGAGTGTGACTGGAGCATCAGTTGGAGAAGGTAGCATATTAGTAGGAGACCTGGCCGGTAGCCACTGATGGTCATACAAAATTAGCTTGGCAACAGTAGTAGAGGAAGAGAAATCAGAGTTGTTTAATGGTTTTGAGATTTTATCTTTATCTGGCATATATTTCAAAATAGCAAGTGTTGTAGATGGGGTTGTCTGATGAGTTAGGGCGTTTGCTGAGCCCCTGGGCAGGTAAATGGACAATGGAGGTCTCAGAGTAAGTATGATGGCAACAATGAGAAGTTGTATTTTATGTTTTTGTTCACAACAGGGGGAAAGTAATACGTTACTACTGTAATGTAGGTTTTGTGCCCCGCAATGGGCCGAAGGTGCCTGAGGAAATTAGGTTACAAATTTATCAAGATGGCTGAGTGTAAGGCGGCAAGGCCTTGTACCCATTAACTTGGGTTGGAGTGAGACACTAATCACTTGTAAGACAGAGGCTTAGTGGTGGTGGTGCTTCAGCACCGCATCTCAGTAGACCTTGTGGCTGTGTTGATGTCTGCAGGACCAACTTGAGGGGGGACAGAATCTGGAGGGCTCACAAAAGAGATCCAGACGTATTGGTCTGGATAACGGTAGAAATGGGCAATTTCTTTGGGTCAATCTGTATTTTATTGAGATATATAGAGTAAAACATAAAATAAGATCAAATATGTGTCAGTATGGTAAAACAAGAGAAAAAAAATCAAAAGTAGCATTACATGACTCCTACTGCTACTTTTTATTTTATTTGAGTCACCCCGTAGCACCAGAAAAGGGTCCCCTCCAGCCCTATGCCTGCATGAGGACCAGCATATTAGGACCACAGACTCTGTTACATTCTTATTTAAGTCTCCAAGCACCTCAAGTTCACCATGTCCAGCTCCTTTTTTAAAAACTTTATTTAAAAAAAACATGTATTTAGTACCTTTTTACTCTGTCTTCTAAGTTTACCACTTCCACCATCTACACCACTCTGAACTTCAGCATTATTCCAACTCATGTGTACACTATTTACCACATAAATACTTCTATGTCTGTAACTCACACTAGTTTGCTTCCCATTTGAGGCTTGTAACGCTCCCCCTTTCTGGTGGCACCTTGTTTAGCCCATGTTTGAATGTTATTATAGCCAAATGTCTAGCAATAAAACATTTTCTGCCTCAGGATCAACAAATCTATGAAAAAGTTTGTCCCCAGAGTAACTCACGCAGTAGCTGTCACAAATCCAGCCCTTTTTTTCCAGACTCCACCGTGCCATGAAAGTTTGGAAGCCAGAGCAGACTCATAATTCAAGTCCTTTCAGACCAAAGAGCCTGCAAGAACTACTGCCATTGAGGTTGGAAAAAGCACAGCTGCAGTTCTTCTGAGTTTTGCGCCACATCCCATGATTATTGAGAATTGTGGCCTTTTCATTTGTTCCTACTGACAAGAAGCTCACTTTCATATCTAGATTTTTGGTATGACTTTGACCCAGACACCACTGGTTAGAATGGCAGACATGGAAAAGTGTGAGTGCTCTGATCCATTCTAGGCACTTATTTCAGTCTATTTCCCAAAGTAATAAACTTCAGACTGAAATATGAAGTCCAACCATTTGTGGATGTTCATTATATCAATACCTAATCCCTTAACAGGCAACATCACATGTGCCCCTCCCCTGTAGTTAAACTAACAGCAGTCATGGCATAGCTGCAATCAGCAGATTGAGCTGTCCCACTCAACAGACCTGAGCTGTGTGAGGGCTGAACAGATACACAAATACACCATAATGAGTATCATAACATATAGTAATGGGGAGGAAAAAAAAAAAAAGATAGAAACACAGCAGCTTGGTGGAATCCTTCTATGCTCAGGGAAGAAAATGTCTGCTGCCAACAAATGCCTGTACCAGGGCATCAGAATTGAGAAATTTAAAGACATCTTTGCTGTTTGTTTTGCTTTATTTTAAAAGTAGTGCTTTTGTAAAGTAAGTATTTTTTTTTTTTTTTTAAATCCAGACCAACTATTTGTGGAAATCATTTGACATGGGACTGGGTGCATGACAACTTCTGAAACTGCAAGGTGATGAATGTTTGACTCATAATATATGGGGCTTACCAACCTTTATCTAGCAGTTGCAAGTGTGGCAGAGAACATTCACAGATTATGTGGAACCCTGCCAACCCTCCGCAACCAACATGTACCAATTTAAATGTTACATAAACATGCTGTCAAGTGATAGTGTTTATTGAGTGTATTCATCATTTTTACTCTGCTTAATTTGTACAAGAAAAAAAAAATATATAGGGTAAGGAAATGTTATGAAAATAATCTGTTTGATGGTATTCTACAATGAGACACCTGCCTTCTCCTACACTAGCAAAATGGTTTACATACAGTAAATACAAATAGAACATTTTATAGAGAATGCAATTCAATAAGTGATAACCTTTTTTACCATTATAACCATTCAGGATAATGCAGAGTTAAGTTAACATTCCTAGTACAAACATCTAACCAAAAAAAAAAGCAATCAAGCTCTTTATTTACAAATGGGTTGTAAAGTGTTGAATGTTTTTGTGCCCTGATAGGTGTAGTAATGTGTAACAACCCCCATCTCACATAAGGAAACAAAATTAAAAAAAAAAATACTGTGAAAGGTTGAAGTTTTTGTGGGGGGATGTGGGAAAACACCAATCATGTTAGGAAGAGCAAAATAATTTCCCCAGTGCAGGTAGGACCACTCACTTAACGACGTGAGTTGCAAGACACAGTAGAAGCTTGCTCAAAGGAGAAGTGGGGGGAGGAAGAGTTACCGACAGACATTTGAACAAAACATAGCACAAAATGGCACCATGAAAACACGGTCAAAGAAAATAAAGTTTTACAAATAAAATTACAATAGTGCTTACATACATATTCAGCAAATAGAACAAAACAATAGAAAACAGTAGTGCAAGTGTTTTATAAATACATATACAATTCATTGCAAGTATGTTCTTTGTGGGTCACAAAGCATTTGCATTAAATTTATCTTCGTCCCTTAGTGTCTTCTTTCACCTTCCACAGCATCAGCTCCATACAGGCTGTAGCGTCTTCACTAGAATCATGGCCACCAACTAAGAGGAAAGAAACACATCAATAAAAAGGAGGGTGGGAGGGCAAGAAAGTATTATTCAATACAGTTCTAGAACTAGCATTCCAAAGTGAACCCTGATAAGTCGTGCACTTTCATCTTCTTTACTACTAATTATGGCACATATAAATAGGCAAACTAATGCCTTTTTCTTAAAGTTTAGCTTTGTAATTTGGGTTGCTTGCAACAGTTAAGTGATGCAAGCCTATTCAACCCACATTAAAAAGGATGTTACAGTGTTCGGAATACAGCTTTGTATTCTGAACCCTACGCTATTCCTGGTCCTCAGCACCAAGTCTTCCTTGGCACGGCTGTCAACTCCTCCCCACGTAAGGTCATGCTCCTAGAGGAACACTGAGGACAACAGACACGTGCCGTGCACACCAGGATCCATAAATTATTCTGTCAGAATAATTTAATGGAATGATTCTTTATGACAAGCCATGATATGACTGAATGTGCACGAGTCATCATGGTATGCCTGAGTATGAGAACATACATTCAGTTTTCTTATCCAGAGGGAATGGAGGCTTTCCAATTGCTAAAATATTACATATTGGCAGCAAATTAAAGAGAAGGTGGCTACTGTAGGGACTATAACAGCTTTGATCTATCTATCCCAAGCGTTTAGAGTATTTTCCATCCAATCAATGAACAAACCAATTTTAAATTTGCATACACAGAATTAAGCTACAACTGGTATTCCTATTATAATTTCACCTAAATTATGCAGATCATTTTCTTATTTTTAATCTTTCCATTTTTATTATACACCATTAGGAGATTTTAAGTTAGGCTTTTGCATCCTACTGTCAATTTCTTCACATTTTATAACATTAAAAAACATTTACTATTCTTCCGAAAGAGACCAAGAAAGTCAATATAGTCCAGAAAGTACACTCCTTTATCGCACATATCAGGGGATGGTTACAAATCTTGAGCAAATGTGTATACACATTTTAAGACAAACATGTTACATAAAAGTGTTTTGAGCATATTACTACCAAACACTGCTTAAAAGGTTATTCCAAGCACCACGCTTACTGATGATTTGAAGTGGTCATGATGCCTGTGGTCTAATGTTTCATAGGAAAACATTGAACGTGCAGCGTTTTACCTTTCTGGTATCAGAGATGTAAGTCCACTTTAAGCCATGTCACTGGGCTTTTCTTACCCAGTCCAAAACACGGGTGGCAAATGTGAATTCTGTGCACAATGGCATCTACCGCCAGCATGAGGAGTTTAATGGAGGGAGAAAGAGTCCAGCACAGCAAGTAACATTGCCAGTAACATTGTTTTAGGTAAACACTTTTTTGGTTGGAGTAACCCTTTAAGTAAATATTTATTAAAAAGGATCATTGTAAAGTGAAAGCACCTCAAATGACTTAAAGGATTTTGGAGATAACCACCAAAATTTTCTTTCAAAGTTGATAGAGTGGTTAAAAATAGAGGAGACAGATGTTAAACGCTTTGGGGATTGCAGACATTGTCTCTTTTACTGTAAGGAAGGTCAGAACAAGCTGTGAGATCATACAGTTGCTGTCCGTAATTAAAAAAAAATAAAAAAATAAATAGATTTTTGCAAAGGGATTGGTTAAAAAATGATCTACAATGACCAATCATGATTAATAAATACCTAGCTCATATTTTGTGCCTGAAAAGTCAGCTGTGCTAGTCAGTATTTAAAAAAAAAACAAAAACAAAAAAAACACCAATATTTAGTAGTTTTTGCCAAACACCAAATTGTGCCTCTAGCATAATCTAGTAACACAATTTATGCAACAGTTCATACTTTACTACATCAGTATAAATCTATATCGATTAATGAATCTATGTAATCTTGAAGAGTCTTAGTTGCCTTTATAGACATGTGACTAAAGAAAATTTAAATCGAGCAGCTCTGTCAAGGGCCATTATTTTTCCAAACAAATTTCCATCTCACCAGCCCCCACTTCATTAATTAGTAATTCCAGTCAGTCAGAGCTTTCTTATAGGTGCCCTTCCTTCTGCATAAGTCTGATCTCTTGCATGCCCACTGCTCCTACATAGTATATTCCAAGACACTTGCAATGTGACGCTGAAGGATATTGATTTATAATGGGAAAATTTGTCTAGACAAAGGAAGTGGCGCTTGACTTAACCTCTGCCCTTTGTCAAGTTTTCTCAGGCTGAAAAATAAGTGAACCGAGCTATGTTAAAGTCTTCGTAGAGGTGCATCTCTGCTCTCAAACCTTGTTTTTGCAAGCTTTGCAGGGAGAAAATGGACACAGGCATCCTGAAATGCTCATTCCAAGCTGCCCGACTGCTGCAGCTCTGACCTCAGTGTTGCCAATATTTAAAAAACAAAAAACAAAAAAACTCTGCAGTTCTAGGACCTCCTCAGGGCAGGGAGACGCAAGGTGATCTATGCAATTATGCAACATTTTGAGGATACGTAGAGTGACCCTTTAAATGCATACATATTCTAAAATTAAAATCGTAATTCAGAAAGACATTATAATTACACTCTTTGATAGTAAGACCGCAAATTCTGAAGTTAGGAGAACATTTTCTCCTATGAAGAGGAAGGTATTAAAAATAAAATTAAAATAAAAAATAAAGTACTGTTGTATATAGGTATCTATAGTTGCTCAACCTAGGAAAAAAAAAACAAACATTTCTTGCATACATACATTTAATCTGGGGAGACGCACACTATATACCACCAAAGATAATATGCTTATAATTTACTTTGTTTTCATTGGCAAAAGGGGGGGTGGAGGGTGGCATAGAATATCCTGGCTAGAATAAGTGCAGATCAAGTATCTGCAGCTACTGCAAGCTGCCTTTCTCCCCAGCACATACAGACCTTCTGTGGTTGTCCAATCACAGACTTCTCAGTGATGCAATTCACAAAAAAACAAAAACAAAAAAACTTTGCAAGGTAGGTGTTCTGGGCAATTGCCTACATCTAGTTTAGCTACATGGAGCAAAACTACCAGAAATAACAGGACAGCTGCCTGGGTGACAGCCTGTGAAGTTTAACAATGTTCCTTTAACAGCAAGTCTTGCCTCATTGGTAGATTCTAACAAGATTTAGCACCCAGGCCCTTAAACGCCAAACCAACTAGTTTGTCATTATTAACAGTCTTAAAATGTAAGACCTTTCTAATATTCCACACCTTGAACTTTACCAGTAATTTTTTTTAAATCCATGATGTTTTTTTGGTCACATCTGAAATGCCTTACCAAACAATGTACTGTCAGTCTAACAATTAAAACAAACAACCAATACCTTTTGAAAGATCATCAGACTGGCTCACCAGTCAGAGGGTTGTAGTCAATGGAGTATATTTGAAGCATGTCTTGTCACCAGTGGGGTACCTCAGATCTGTACTTGGACCCATTCTCTTTGATATTTTTATTAGAGTTATTGCAGAAGGTCTTGATGGTAAGGTATGTCTTTTTGCTGATGATACTAAGATATGTAACAGGGTTGATGTTCCAGGAGGGATAAGCCAAATGGTAAATTATTTAAACTAGAAAAATGATCAGAGTTGTGGCAGCTGACATTTAATGTGGATAAGTGCAAGATAATTCATCTTGGACGTAAAAACCCAAGGGCAGAGTACAGAATATTTGATAGTCCCCTAACCTCAACATCTGAAGAAAGATTTAGGGGTTATTAATTCAGATGACTTAAAGGTAGGCAGGCTAATAGGGCAGCAGGAAATACTAGCAGAATGCTTGGTTGTATAGGGAGAGGTATTAGCAGTAGAAACAGAGAAGTGCTCATGCCCTTGTACAGAACACTGGTGATGCCTCCCTTGGAGTATTGTACGCAGTACTGGAGACCGTATCTCCAGAAGGATATTGATACTTTGTAGAGAGTTTGGAGAAGGGCTACTAACTAGGTTCATGAATTGCAGGATAAAACTTACTAGGAAAGGTTAAAAGATCTTAACATGTATAGGGTGGAGGAAAGACGAGACAGGGGGATATGATAGAAACATTGAAATACATAAAGGGAAATCACAGTAAAGGAGACTACATTTAAAATTAGAAAACCTACCACACCAAGAGGACATGGTCTTAAATTAGAGGGGCAAAGGTTTAAAAATAATGTTAGGAAATATGGGTCGAAATTAGGAAAATTTTGGGCTTAAGTTATTTAATTCCTAGAACATGTAAATTAAATATATTAGAAAATAATGTAGAGGATTTATCACTGAGACCTTGGCCCAAAGATACATTAACCTTTTCGGACTTTATGCAGGGAGATAATATTCTACCATTTCAACAGATTGTGAATAATTTCCATATACCATCTAAAGAAATATTTACATATGTTCGTATCAAACACTATATCCAGAAACATGTTATCCAATTTTTTTTCCTCGGGCTAAAGAATTGCAAACTCTATTTTCATTTCAAACTGTACCCAAGATTATTTCGGTAGCTAATTTGCTCTTTAAAGGTTTCGATACCTTTCCCCATAAATTGGTTAAAACATGGGAAAACGAACTTAACTTAGTGATTTCTCCAAAGGAATGGTCTTCCTCTATAATTTTAGTAAATAAATCGGTCCATGGTCTAAACTTGACTGAGTGCCATTTTAAGTTACTTCACAGATGGTACTATACTCCGACAAGACTAGCTAAAATGTATACTTCTCAAGACCCTACTTGCTGGAGATGTGGTACCTACTCGGGTACATATATCCATACATGGTGGTTCTGCCCAGTAGTAAAACAACTCTGGGACTGGGCCTATAATATCTTCTCCAAAATATCTTTGAATGAGGTATCTTTTAAAGATATAAACAGAAATCCAGCTTCGGCCCTCCTCCACCTGAATTGGCCTTTTAAATCTAACATATTTGTTTAGCTATCCACTGCTTTATTGCAGCTAAAATTATTATAGCTAGACAGTGGAAATCTTCCGTTCCTTTTCAAAAAATCTCCTTAAATAATCAAATTAAATTCCAACTAACAATGGAAAATGATATGGTTAAAAATTGGTCAGCGGTCTCTAAAAAAAAAAAAAACGAGACTGGTATTTAACTTGGTTAACCCCTTCAGGACGGGTGACGGACGAGGTCCGTCACACAGGGGAGACCCTTAACGACGGGTGACGGACCTCGTCCGTCACGCGGTAAAATTAACCCTGGATCGCCGCTATCGCGGCGATCGCGGGGTTAATTGTGCTCCCGGTATGCCTCTGCATTAGAGGTATACCGGGAGCACCCGGTCAAGCTGCCCAGCACATGTGCTCGCTCTGACCACAAGTCTGAGCGAGCACATGTGCTCTCTATACTCACCTACCGGCTCCCTGCACTTCCGGGTTCTGTGTGAAGTGCAGGGAGCCGGATCAGTGCTGATCCTGCCCCCTGCTGTAAAAAAAAAAAATAAGGTTTATTTAAAGTCCCCCCCCTTACCCATTTTAATAAAAAATTAACCCCTTCCCTGCCAATTGATCACTGACTACAGTGATCAATTGGCAGGGATTACATTTTACTATGATCTGATTTTTTTTTTTAACCCCTGACGGTTAATTCTTCTTTTTTTTAACCCTCAGGGGTTAAATTAATTAAATTAATTAAATTATTTTTAATTATATATTTAGATAGCTGGGGTGGGTGGAAGTTAGTGGGGAATTGGGGGATTTGGCGTTAGGCTAACTAGGGGTTAACGTTAAAAAAAAGTTTTAAAAGAAACTTTAAAAAGTTAAAAATTAAGCTTAAAAAAATGTTTTAATAACATTTAAGTAAAAAAAACAAAAAAAACACACTTTACCTAGTCCAAATAAAAATTAACCCCTTCCCTGCCAGTCGATCACTGCCTACAGCGATCAAATAGAGATCACAGTATTATACTGTGATCTAATTTTTTTTAACCCCTGAGGATTAACTTTTATTTATTTTTTAACCCTCAGGGGTTCAATTTATTTAATTAATTAATTTAAATATTTTATAACTATATATTTTGCTAGCTGGGGTGGGTGGGAGTTATGGGAAAATGGGGAATTTACTGTTAGTGCTGTACTGCTAGTTAGGGGTTAACGGTAAAAAAAAAAGCTTAGAAAAATGTTAAATCTGTAAAAAAGTTTTAAGAAAGTTTAAAAAAAATTTATAAGCAAAACAAAAGTTTAAAAACTAGTTTTTAAAAGTAAAAAAGTTATAAAAAGTAAAAAAATACATTTTAAAAACGCTCATTACCACTACACCTGGAACAAACTAGAGAAAAAATTATCCCACGCCAAGGTTCAAAATATGCCTTTTGAATTACCCCAGGGTGTATTCTTTAATAAATAGTATGTGTTTGTGGGGAAGTTTCAATAACCAACCGTCTAAACTACTCCAAATTGGAACATGGACACAGCGTAAAACTTCAAAGTTAGAAAAAACTGAATGGCTGCGTCTCAAATGCGCCCCTTCAACATCCACATATACCTGGCAAAGGTACATACGGGGGTATTGCTGTACTCAGCCGACATAGCTGAGCAACATATGAAGTATTATACAGTCATAGCACACATAAGGTTTGCAAAATATGCTGCGCAAACTCACTTTGTATGTCAAAAAGGCAGAAAAATGCTTATTACCACTACACTTGGTACAAGCTAGCGGAAAAATGATCCCACGCTAAGGTTCAAAATATGCCTTTTGAAATACCCTGGGATGTCTTCTTTAAGAAATGGTATGGCTTTATGGGGAATTTGGATTATATAGCCTGGTAAAATACTCTAAAATGGGACATAGGCACAGCATAAAAATTCAAAGTTTGAAAAAAACTGGAATGGCTGTGTCCCAAATGTGCCCCTCCGATGTCCACACATACCTAGCAAAGGTACATACGGGGGTATTGCTGTACTCAGCCGACATAGCTGAGCAACATATGAAGTATTATACAGTCGTAGCACACATAAGGTTTGCAAAATATACTGTGCAAACTCACTTTGTATGTCAAAAAGGCAGAAAAAACGCTTATTACCACTACATCTGGTACAAGCTAGCGGAAAAATGATCCCACGCTAAGGTTCAAACTATACCTTTTGAAACACCCTGGGGTGTCTACTTTAAGAAATGGTAGGCCTTTGTGGGGTAGTTTGAATTTAAAACCTGCGAAGATGCTTGGAAATTGCACATAGGCCCAGCATCAAAATTCAAAGTTTGGTAAAAACGGATATGGCTTGGTCTCCTATATGGCACTGTAGCTTCACGAAATAGTGCCAAAGACATTCATATGGGGTGTCATTTTACTCAGAAGACTTAGCTGAGCATAATTTGGGGGTTTGAACTTAGTGGCACATATGAAATATACAAAACGCCCAGCAAAAATGCAATCCGTATGTAAAAAATGCACAAAATTATTTTTACCACATACTTTGGCATATATTGGTGAAAAAATGGGGGCATGTTAAGGCACAATATGCACCTTATGAGATACCCTGGAGTGTCTACTTTTACAAATGGTAGGCCTTTGTGGGGGTTTTTTGAACAGCCAAACTGTTATAATACCCCAAAATGGAAGCTAAGGCTCATTAAATCCATCTCTCAAAATTCTACTGTGAATACTGAAAAGGACAGGTATCCTGTATGGCACTGTAACTTCACGAAATAGTGCAAAAGACATACAATGGGGGTGTCATTTTACTCAGCAGATGTAACTGAACACAAAATAAAACTTTGTACAGGAATAGCACACACCAACTTTACAAAATATACACGAGAATTTCTCTGTTATAAGTTTGTGTGCCAAAAACCAAAAAGAACACAATTTTACTCCAATATTTAGCAGAGGTTGGCGGTGAAATGGCTACGTAGAAAGTGTCAAAACAACCTTAGGTAAATAGCCCGTGATGTCTACTTTATATAAATATATACTTTTGTGTGGCAATTTTGTTTTCTTTTATGGCTATTAAGCTTACAAGACAAACATACCAAATTCTAAAATCGCTCCACATTAAAATTTTATTTTACTCCTTGTGCTTTGTGACCTGTAACTACCAAAAAAAACTTAAAATCCCAGACACATTATATATTCTGTAAATCAGAACAAATAAATAAATTTATTTTTAATTACTTTCCTTAACCTGCACTAATTATGCACACATTATTATTGCAAAAACTGTAAAAAAAAACAATATTTTTCATTTTTTTTGCATTTTTCTGTATTTTTTTATAATACGTAAGCATTTTATATATATATGTTATATCAAATTAAAGCCCTTTCTGTCCTTTAAAAAACAGTATATAATATGTGTCGGTGCAATAAATGAGAGAGATGCAAATTGCAGTTGAACGCAAACAGCAAGAAAATGCAAAAATTGCTTGTGTCATTAAGCGTAAGTCAAGCTTCTGAAGCTGTGTCCTTAAGGGGTTAAAAAACTGCTCTCTACTTTATGGTAATTTATAAATTTTTTGGGTGACGTGTTTATGGATGATGTAATTCTATTTGGGTAGCTGAATTTACATTATTGATAACATGTATCTAATTTGGCGCTTATTTTCATTGATATACCTCTCAATATTTTGCTATAGATTTTTGTTTACTTTATATTAACGACTTCCTGATTCTTATGTATTTTTTTTCCTGATTGTCATATTTTAATGAAAGTATCCTTTTTATATAATAAGATTTATCTATATCAATTGGATGTATTTTGTATGATTGTATGTATGTACTTTTTGAATTGCTATGTAACTTAAAAATAAAATTTTCTAATAAAGAGTAATTAAAAAAAAAGTCAGGAAGTATTACTTTACTGAGAGGGTAGTGGATGCATGGAATAGCCTTCCAGCTAAGGTGGTAGAGGATAACACAGTAAAGGAGTTTAAGCATGCGTGGGACAGGAATAAGGCTATCCTAGCTATAAGATAAGGGCAGGGACCTAATGAAAGCATTTAGAAAATTGGGCAGACTAGATGGACCAAATGGTTCTCATCTGCTGTCACATTCTAGGTTTCCCTCTTCCATCTAGATGTGTACTGGCCTTGACATAGTGAGCATAATTCCACTTTCTACTTCTTTGCCTGGCAGATGTAGGTTTTTCTCTTTAAACCTACTTGCCTTATTGTGCAGAAATGTGCAGATAAGGAAGACCAGTAGATTTGCTGTTGTGCAAACAGCACTGAAACTTAAGTTTGGGACAATATGTGAAAACACCAACTTTTTGGTACAAATTTATTTCTGATGAGAAAAAGGAGTTTAATCATTTAAGCAGTGATGATGCAAGCATTGGGCAGTCTTTGCAGCTCATTTTACAAGCACACACATTTTCATATGTTCATTAACTGTGTAAGATGTTTATGATATGCATACTAAGAACATAGGAGGCATCAGAGTACTATGGTATTCACCCATTTTTTGATCCCCATTGCAGTGGGTCAAATATTTAATTACACAAGCTTTCTCCAGTCTGACTTGACAATAAAGGGTTAAAGGATGTTGGTGAAAATATGTCCACTAACATTTGACTTACGGGCTATTTCTCTTTTCCTCTGCTCTGTGTGTTCTCCCTGATAGACATGAAGCCAATTTGAGTTTGACCAACAATGAGTGTGATCCAACTAAAGATTTCCTAGCTTAAAACCTAGCCTCCTAAGTAGTCTCCAATGGAACAGTTCTGTGAAGTGAGTTTTTCCCACAAGGTAAAATGAATATTTATTTACTGTGTTGAGTTCTGGATCTCTTGTGGGACCTGATTTTTGGCAAAATGTATCAATGGGTAGAACTTCACATCCTGCCATTTACAATCAGCTGATAAAAATCTACCCACTCAATGTGTATTAGATGCCTCTCCATGAGAAACATTAGATTGGAAGAAAACACAAAGTAGTGACACCTGCAGGAAGTGGTGTGGAGGAGAAAATGCTTTATTTGTATTTATGAACAGTTGAGAAACGCAACGGATATACTTTGTCTAACAGTGAAACAGACCAATGGAAATTCCATATTCCCATTGTATTCAAGCTCCCAAAGTATTAAAGGATTCAGTTCACCATTGAAACTATATCTGGTCAGATTAAGAGGTGATAATGGAAGCAGTGGAAAGAGCATAGGGGAGGGGGGAGGAGATGCAGTGGTATCTGAATTTCTATACCAAATTAACTGCTGCAATTTAACACCATCACAATGTTAGATCACTGCATCCTACGTATGATGAGGTATAACAGTACTCGGACCTACTGACATGTCTTGGTGTGAGCAGGGTTACATTTTTGGTGTGAGCAGGGATGTAACCCTGCTCACACCTGTGAGTCCCAGGTATCAATGGCCAACCGGCTTTCCTGACAACGCGTGCCATTTTCAGTCGCCCCCAGGCTTGCTGATGAGCTGTGTGCAACCTTCAAAGTGAGCACTGCCTAGAGCCCTTTAAATCCATTACCACCACCACCTCAGACCCTGACAGGGTCATCCAGCACATCTCCATGCCAACTGTGGCCTGTATTGGGCTTTGCCAGCACTGATCAGTGAAATTTGCATACCCGATTTTCAGAATTACAGGAATATACATACAATGCTGAAAACAGCCAGTACATGACAAACAGCTCTGTTTTGATTTGGTCATATAGGTACTGATTCCATCAGATTGTGTCCAGAGGGTTTCCTTAGAATTAAGGTTATGGATTGGGTTAGTTCTACGGTTAGGGGAAGGTAAACATTAATTTGCTGTGTTAGTGTTGATGAGGTTTTAGAGTATGGCAGGGGTTCCCAAAAGGTAGATCCCCAGATGTTTTAAAACTACTACTCCCATGATGCTTTGCATGCCTTGAAAATGAAATGGAAGCTGTAGTTTTAAAACATCTGGGGCTCTACCTTTGGGCACTCATTGTTTAAGTTCTTATCTCCTGCTCTGTTAATTGCAGCAGTTTTCTGTGTGTTATTAATGTTCCATTAACAGAGCAGTAGTTAACTTCTAAACTTCACACTGCAATAAGTACAATTTAAAAATTAGACCTTTTTCAGGAAGTGAGTTGCAGCCAGGGGGTGAATTACTACGGCTGCATTAATGGGATTTAACTCCTAAATGGCAGGGAATTTAACAGTTTGATATATACACCAAATCCACTTAAGCTAAGATGTTTTTGGTGAAATGTCCTTTCAAGCTTCATTTTAGTCAATGTGCAGCCAGGGTTAATATACTGGAAGAGTCTTACCATTATCCTGAATGATCCGTCTAAGGAAGTCAGCCATTAAATTACGGAGTGCTTTTTTATGTGGTAAACCTAAGCGATGAGGAAATACTATTGAGGTATCAACAACTGTGTCATGAATAAGCTGTAAAGAGAGAATATTGCTATTAAGTCACATGAATATGGGAAGCATTAGTGAAAATAAAACCGAAATAAAAAATGGCCAACTGGTAATTGCACTCAAATTATTGCATGAAACCCAATCTAAAAAATAGTAGTTAGGGGCAGGGCTTGGATGCAGAGTGGAAGCTAAGTGTCACAGCTCCTCTTCTGCAATTCAGTTTTCCACAGCTATGATTGACCTGACCGATTTCATAGACTCTCAGATAATCTTATCTAACACTCTGGTGCGCAGGCTTAAATGACTGAGGCAGTACTTTTTTCTCAGTGCAGTCCTAAACCTTTGAAAGCCTACCTGCAGCCTGAATTGACTTGTGTCTCCATCAAGAATCCAGCAAGTTTTCCAATTCAATATTATACAGTGTGATATTGCAAGAATACTCAAAAATAAAACCATTACATTTAAAGACCCTGCATTTGCTGCTAATCATCACTTTTGCAACACCTGACAAACCCTCACCATACCAGGATTAGGCAGATGCTCCTATAACCTTGTTAACTTCAGTGTTTTCTCTTCTTTTTTTTAAGGAGGAAGGGAGAAGGAAGATGGGGGAGGTGTGTTAGTTACAGAAACAAATGCTTAAAATTTTCAGGGAAGTTCAAGAGTAATATACCTTTAGAGCTATGAGGTCATTTTCTAAACTATGTCCAATTAAAATGGTATCTGCACTGAACAAGTTGAGCATAATGGCCTGTACATCTCGAATTGATGTTGTGACATTTTCCAGGTTTTCTTCAGTAACACCAGAAAATCTATAGGAGAGGGAAAAAGTGAATTAAAATACTCCTCATGCAGACTTTTCCACAATATGTGCTGATACCAATGTAGACACCACATTTTTCACTGTGCACCTCATTGTGTCGCTTTACTTTTAACTGTTACAAGACACCACCCTATAAAATATGTTGAGCAAAGTCCAATTCAAGACCACTAACAAGAACCTACCCTATATGCAAGGAGTTCTAATAATCCTAATGTTGGACATTATGCAAAAATTTAATCTTAATAAAATGGTTATGGAGCTCCAATACTATCCCTGCAGTCTGCTTTTAAGTCTACACAGGACTGACTGCAAAACAGAGCTAGAAACTCTGCTTCAGGGCTGGTAATTACACATTTCCCAGCGGTCATACCTACTCATACCACTGAGTAGTTATTACAACACAAAGCATACTTGTAGGTGGCTGCTCTTTGTGAGCCAACGCATACAAGTTATCACTTCTCCTGTTGGAAATAGGTGGATTGCAAGTCTAATAGTTCAGTTACCATTCAACTTGCTGTGCTTGTATTTATAAACTATACAATAGCTATGCAATGAAAATAAAGTATCCATTTAAGGATATCTAGTTACAGGCTGCAATTGGATTATCTTTCAAAATAAAGTAAGGCTGCAGTTTGACCAATTAAACATGGATCGGACATGTTCTTCCTCTAAATATTGTCACTTGAAAGATTTTAACAGCTGCATGCATGGCCAGCAGATAGATTTTACTAGACGAGGAACTGATTAAATGCATCACAGCGCACTACAGTTTTGGACTTAAATGTTCACATGTCCAATACAAACTGGTGACATCCACTGAACAGGGATACAGTCATCCAGCAGCCCTACCCTTTCAGCTTTGTAAAACAACAATTAGAGGCTGCCTAAACTGGTGCAGTTTGGATTCTGCAATTTAGTGATTTGAGTTATGTTACTATGCATTGTTTATCTTTTTGTTCATCCCTCTAAATGGATAGAGTTGATAATTTTATCCAGTGAAAAGTTTGCTGTACCACTTTTTTTAACAGAATGAAGCAGGATGTTTGGTTTTCATTCACTAGCACAATTGTTCTTAAAACCAATCATACTGTTAACTCAATATTATTTCTCTTGCTTTCAGCATTAACCCCCTAAGGAGAGAGGCAACTGTCCAAGTTCTCAACCAATACAAAACCTAGGATTTGAGCTACATGCCTGCTCAACCATTATTTACCTCTATCATATTAAGTGCACCCACGCTTATATCATTTTGTTCAGGAGAACTAGGGCTTTCATTTCACAAATTATACAAGAAAATGTAATATGAATAAAAATTAAAAAAGCCAAGCCAGTCGTGTGATCGTCGTGTCAACCAAGTCAGGCAGGTTTCCCAGATCGTGATTGGCAAGGAGACTATTTGGGCTGGGATGGCACGATTAGAGTGTGCTATGCTGCCCTAATGGAGTTAAAGTCCTCCTTTTGTCGGACAGCATAGCATGCCCTAATGTCAGGAAGTGTTAAAATGTTCACCTTCAGTATATGAAAAACAAAATACATGAAAGTTATGTACAGTGACTCAATTACACTGAATATGCTCAAAAGCAAAATATACACAAAAAACTCATACCTAGTGTTGTAGTCTAAGATTTCATTATCAGGTTTAACAAATGTATCATAAACAACTTGCAAGCTGGGATCAACAACGGTGACTCTGGTTAGTTCCAAGCCATGTGTAGTATAGCACTATACATAAAGAAGACAATGTAATGTAAATAGGATTACTTGAAATACTTAATACTATAAAATGCTGTGCATGAGCAGCTATATTTAGTCCCTTCACTATCAAGGACATCGTTTTAAAAAAATAATAGCATAACAATTTTGAATAAGCAATATACAGGGTCTGAAATAGTATAAACAAACCATAGGTTTGACCAAAATAACAAAAATAGTCAAATCCCTTGAGGGTATTACTAGCAGTGCAGCTTACTAAAAAAAGTAGAACAAAATATATAAAGATTTGTGCACAATGCCTACATAGAGCAAAAATAATTGAAATACCTTTATTTTAGAAACATTTCATTTAAACTACTATATCAATCTCTGGAAAGCTAATATAGTGGTGACAATGAAATAGTAAAGTAATTCCTATCCTCTCCCAACTGTAGGAATGCTATCACCCAGTGAAAGATCTTTTACCTTTTGAAAGCAAGAGCTGAAATTACACTTTCAGCAATTTTACAGGCATAGCAGTGAATAGTTGCTTCTAGCACAGAAGTTTGTTCCTTTACAGGCAGGTAATCATAACTAGAGTATAAATTAGGGCGAGCAGGCTTTATGGACTAGTTTTCATACTGCAAAATACATGAAAATAAAAACATGTATACTATTTGGTTATTGAAGGGTTTAATACATACCATTTCACAATCCAGAGCATACACACCAGGATTACCATCGGAAGGCTGCAGTTTTACAAAAGTCTTTATAAAGCCATCCAGATTTTCTTTTTGACCATCATGTACATGAACCTAGAGGGAAAATTATGAAGCAAGATATTAGACAAAGAGGAAAATTCAAGTTTACACGCAAGTCTAATGTCAAGATCATATTATTTTGAACAGCTGCCCTCATGCAAGCTCCAAAACCACTCTAGTTGGCCTCTTAAAGTGTTCCTCCAAGCACCATGACTTCATTGATTTGGCCACAGTGCCTGAAGTCGCTATGCAATTCTGCACAGAGTCTAACCCCTCTGCAGCAACACCATTGGGACATCACTAGCCAGCCCAGAACAATTTGAATCCTGTGCAAATCTGACATTTGTAGCATGCACAGCGTGGCACCAGCCAGTGACTATACACCCCATTTCCCACTCCCCCCCACAGCCTGCTCTCCCTCCCCAGCCGCAGAGGATTGAACTGTAGCGAGAATCTGCATCTGACAAATTAAGTCTAGTTTAGCTTTATTCTCTTTAATAGGTGGTGCGTTTTACAAAAATTACTACCAGGGCATGTAGTTTGTTTATGCAGCCCTTGTAACACCTCCCTGCATGTGACTTACAGAGCCTTCATGAACACTTCCTGTAAAGAGTCACCTAATGGTTACACTTCCTTTATTGCAAAGTCTGTTTAATTTAGAATTCATCTCCTGCTGTGTTAATAGCTTGCTAGACCCTTCAAAAGTCTCTGGTTTCTGATCAGTTTAAATAAGAGAGCAGGAGACAGTAGCACACTTTAAATGGTTTTATCTGAAAGTGAAACAAAATTGAGAATTGAGCAGAGAGACTTCAAGGCATGCTTGATAAACCAAAGCAGCTTCTTTAAGTTAAATTTGTTTTGGTGACTACAGAGTCTCTTTAAGTAGCCCTGTCCATTGAATCTTATGGGGGAAGAGTCAAAGCCTTCCTCACTAGATATGCAAAGTCCAGCATAACTATGAAAAAATGTATTGCATTTGTACCATTATATTTTTCTTTTTCTGATCTCTTTTTGGAATAGTTAAATCAACTGAAAATGCATTTGCATAAAAAAATTAAAAACCTTACCTTTGCCATTTGACATCCGGGAGTACCCACTACGGCATCACAACAACTGTAGCGTGTTTCGATACCACCAGGAACTAGTGTAAAAAAAATCCATTAATCTCATTTAATAACCCACTTATCTGGGGCACAAATATAGATTTACTTTATGCTTCCATATGTCAATATAATTTAACTGATCAACAAGGCAAGAAAGTCAAGTTTACATACCTCTATGTCTCAGAACTTTTCCAGAGTGGTAGTTGCATTCTTCCTTGCGAGTGTGCTTTCCTTGTAAAGTCACAGAATAGATTTTTCCACAACGACAACAAACTCTTCTTAAAGCTAGTAGAAATTACATGAAAAGTGCAAGCAATCATTTTTTGTTCACCAATTTTATTTTCCATAGTTAAAAATGTAGGACACAAAGATAGATGTATCTCTGTGGCCAATAGACCATGAAAAACAGTTTAAAAAGACAGACATCTCCCTTAAAGGAACATAGGGTCCGGAATATCCCTTAAATATTGTAAAAACTCACTATTTCTAGCACCGGCTCTGCCCCCAATCCACCTTCTTGCCTGACATCAAAATTTATGATCTCAGCCAATCACAATGCATTCCCATAGGAAGTTAACCACCACCCTGGTCAATCAGCTTCTCCTCACAGATGCATTTGATCAATGCATCTCTATGGGAAAGTTCAGTGTCTCCTCTCCAGTGGCCATCATAGGTTTTCGAATGGGGCCAAAAGTAAAACCCTGCCCTCTCTGAAAAGGCAGTGTTTACAGCAAAAAAGCATGTAGAGACATGCTATAGGCACTATAAAAACTGTATTAAGGGTTAATTGTTCTGGTGACTGTAGTGGCCCTTTAAGCTGCATATTGGGGGACTAAACCATTAAATCCCTGTATACAAATATTTTACCTTCTCTATGGTCTCAAGTTGATTATATATACTGCTCTACCCATAAATGTTTTGGATCCTCATCCGCTCCATGTGTGCCAATCAATTCCATCCAGTTTCCTTGTCGCAGAAGACCAATTCAATTGCAGCTCTAAAACAAGCATTCCCACTGCTGAAGAGGGGGATGCATGAACAAGTGTATCTGACAACCATTGCTAGTAGAAAGGAGCAAGGAAGCCAGCATACTGCCAAAAAATATTTTGCAACCAGGCTGCCTGATGTTTTGCAGAAATGACTAAAGATGTACAAATAAGGAATATGGGTGCAAGCCTCATAACCCAGGGGTAAGCAACCTTCAGCACTCCAGAGGTTGTAGACTTCATCTCCCCTGACGCTTTGCCAGCATTATGGCTGCAAAAGCATTATGGAAGAATTAGTCCACATCTGGAGTGCCTACCCCTTTCCTAATAAAGAATTGGAGCCACACCACCAAATATCAAAAAGGGTATTATTTCACCAACGTGGACTCTGCAATGTTTCAACCCAAAGGCAGTGTATTTGTGAAGTATGAGTACAAGTGTAAAACATACAGTTTAAATACACACTATTATGGAAAAATGTGGAATTGCAGTGTTATTTGTCCTTTTGACCTGTATTTCATAACAGGGGATATTTTTCTAGCATGAGCCCATTATCTATTTTCATTAAACTCCAATCATAAAGGAGACTTAATCCATTGACTATTTGATCTAATTTTCTTACTATAATACACGGTTTATTATGGTATGTTTGGGGGTAGTCTCGCATGGACTACTGTAATGCTCTCCTAGTTTGTCTCCCCAAAATCCAGACAATTGGTAATGAATGCTGCTGCCAGGCTGATCTTTCTCACCAGTCGCTCCTCCCATAACTCGCCCCTCTGTCAATCCTTACACTGGCTTCCTATAGGAGTCAATTCAAAATACTAACCTTTACCTATAAAGCTCTAACCCCTCTTACATTTCTTCCCTGATTCATAGAGGTGTCCATTCTCGTCTCTCCACTCTGCCGGTGACCTTCTCCTGTCCGCAACTCGCACTTGCATGAGTTCTTGCGGGCAGCTCCCTTCCTTTGGAACAGCCTGCCTATCCTCAGACTGTCCCCTAGTCTTCAATTGTTTAAAAAGCCCCTCAAAACAGATCTGTTTAGGAATGCTTATGGACTCCCAGAGTAACTTATCTCTACTTAACCAAATTGGTCTCTTGCTCTCCTAAAGAGCCACACTCCACTCACACCTCCAGCTCTGCTACTTATTCACCTCGTTTGGTGGCTGTCACCCTTGCTGCTCTGTTGTGTATTTGTTCCCCACCTCTAGACTGTAAGCTCGTTTGAGCAGGGTCATCAACTACCTATTGTTCCTGTGTCACTGTAATGGTCGCATTTATTGTAAATTCCCCTTTCATAATATTGTAAAGCGATGCGGAATTAGTTGGCGCTATATAAATACTAATAAGGATTTATAAAGTGCCAACAAATTCTGTAGCGCTGTAAAATAAGTGAAACAGACCTGTATTTGCAACAAGATGAGCTGGTGGCACAGTATTATAGTAAGTCCACCCTTGGGTGGTTTTATCAATTATGTGCAATCAAGTGTGCATTTTAACTATGTCGTACACTGGAAGTCAGACTTTATTAACCCTGAATTTTGGATGAAACTTTGCAGAGTCTACACTGGTGGAATAAATCAAGTTTTTGACATTTGGTGCTGCGGCTCCAATTTAATTTGTTTTGCTGGTATGAGTGTTGCACAAAAAATGCCTTGAAATTTTTGGTTTTGCTTTATCCAAAGGATTGAAATCCTAGGATGGGTAATAGTTTGAGAGTTTACTGTATTACTTGCAATTATATACACACCATTCAGTTAAATACATTTAGTTTCTGCCTTATACAGTCATGTTCCCACTGTACAGCGCTATAGAATTTGTTGGCGCTATATAATAAAAATAAATAATAAATGGCATTAAACTACTTGCTATTCAAGCGAGTATCCTTTATCATAGCCTGCTCTTAACGTTTATTCTTGCTGCTTTCTTTTAAAGACAAAAAAAGGATCAGATTAACGTGTGTGAAGTCATTTTTGGACCACATTGCAACCTGTCTGTTCTAGATTTCAGAAGTGAGTTAAAGCTTGAAAAAAGTACAGCCATGCAAATATTCCCACTTTCAAGACAACCACACAGTTATTCTTGCAGACAATACAAACAGTTCCAATTGAAGTAATGCAGCTACCCTGCATATGTGCACATTCTGAATCTTTCTAAAATACTAACCAGCAGCTGCAGACAAGAATACTACCTGCTTCTGTCATTTATGTGGGCAGTTAGAAAAAGTTTGAGTTGCTGCCTATCAAAGTGCTATGGGAAGGAGCAGGAGGTGTTCCTGCATCTTCAAAATGCAAAAAAGGTTTACTTGTCCTGATAAATAATGGGGAGGCAACTACCCATATGTGTATTGCCAAGAAACATGGAAAACAAAGATCAGATTTATGTTAAATGCAGACATTCAATACTGAATCAATCTAGGCTACATGGTATGAGCAAAGTAGTGAATTTACTGAAAAGCATGACTCAAGCACTGAAGCTAGGCACTACTGAGAATTTCACTCACAAGTTACAGTGCTCTCTATAACATGACCTTGCATCAAAATTATTTTCATCAATATGAAAGCAGACTACTAAACATGTGGTGTTTACCAACCATCACTCCCAATTGGCTTTGTCCCTCCATTAGGCAATATAGCACTACCAGGCTTATCAAGATTAAGCAGAGGAAACCCATTCTCTTGCAGCTGCTCATCAGACAGTAGATATTCTTTCAATAGATTGTAAAGATTTACACCTGTTAGCTCTACAAAAGGAAAAAAATGTAAATCAAAACCCTAAGCATGGTAAGAGGTTTGAAAGAACATTAAGGTGGGTATGTAAAACATCAAATTACAAGACGTTAATACAAATATATTTTATTATGGTATACCAAAAATTAGATGCACACATTAGCACTTCAGTTAGCAAGAAAAAAAAAATTCCACACACTTGTTTTGCTTCTAATTAGTCATATCTGTGCTTGTTTTAGACTTTATGAAAGCAATACATTCCACCTTCTTGAAGGAACAAACATGTCAGAATTTCCACTTTCCCATCAAGATAATAAGTTGGCTCAGGGAGCATTTTTAAATAAAGCACAGGCATAGAGCACCCGCAATCGGTAAGTATAACGCACCAGAATCACTGACAAACAAACGCAGCTTCACAGAGCTGCACTTCAGCAAATACCTATAAGCACATGTGTGTGCAACTGTATGGTGTACCTACCAGGTCTGTCTCCTTGTTTCTTTGATCCAGGTGCATTCTCTCTGCTCCCTGACTGATGGGAGCCTATAAACAGAATAGAATGGTTAAAGATGCAGAAAGTGGACAATCATTTAAACAATTAAAGAAAACCAATTATCTATTTTATTACCATTTGGAAAATTTCTCTGATCCCGTAGCTTTTTAAGACTGTTAACAGCTATGTTAAGATACATATTTTTACTGCCACAACGCTCATATATGGACTTTTCTTCATTCAAGGCCTATAAAGAAAGAATGGACATATTTTAAGGTTAGATTTATAAACAGGACTACTACTGTTGATGGTTTAAAGCATAGATGTCCAACCCACGGCACACAGGCCGCATGCCGGTGATTGTGTGTATCCATGGTTATGCGTGCATATGTATACACATGTGTATATGTTTAGTAGATAATGCCCTTATTTGTTATCCTTGTGTGGGATTTTCATATTTAAGGATATCAAATTAAGGAGCTATCTACTAAAAAAAATATATATATCTTTAAAAGCCATTTTCTTAACTTTGATATTTCAATATACATTATCTATAATCTATATTTGATGTGTGGCCCAAGACAATTCCTCTGCGCTCAATGCGACCCAGATAAATCAAAAGGTTGGACACCCATGGTTTAAAGTATATGGAAGGAGACATATGCACAAATCCTGTGCTTTAAATGAAGTAGCGAAGATGTGATTGAAGTGCAGAATAAAAGGTTTACGTGTTAATCTTAAACAAAAATGTTGTATGAACGGTTACAAATTTTGGAGCCTAAACAAATTACCGTAATTTGTAACCGTTCATACAACACGGTTATAAATTACAGTAATTTGTTTAGGCTCCAAAATTTGAGGGGCTAGAGTAATTGGGCAAACTAACAAACCTATATAAAATGATCTTGTTAACTGGGTTGAGGTCAGGTGACTGTATATTTCACTATTTTGCTTTGACAAGCTCTTTGGTTGCTTTTAAGTCACTGTCCATCTGTATTCTTAAGCACCATTCTCAATAAAAAAAAAAATTAAAATCCAATGGACACATCCCAAAATTAGAATCCCATATCCATAATTCATTCACACTCTGAATAGATGTGCAAACGTGTCCCAAAAATCAGGTTATATGAGTCTACGTTGGAATGACCAGAGTGTTCACATGTCAATTCAATTTATCTGTGACTGGCAAGATGTTTACATCACTGCAGAACAGAGCTCACACCTTTAACCACGTTGTGCATTAACACAGTAATTCTAAATCTATGAGAAACAAGACCGACCACTTCCTGGTTGAGACGGGCATCAGTTGAAAAATCAGATTTATAGTAAAGACATATTCAGACACGTTTTAAACTTTCCTTTTGTTAATAGGCAGTCTTATTAATGTATTAAAATATGGGTGTTAACCCTCTCTCTGGTGTTCCCAGCTTAGGTGACCCATTACTGGTGTCAAAGACGACAACACATTACAGAAGAATCTTACTATGCACATTTACGCTCTACCTAAGCAACACAAATGCAGAGCTTCAATTCCTGTATAGACCCAAACGATTTCATTGAGAAAGACCCATAAATCTGTTCCATTACCAAGTACCTTTCTGATCACTGTTCAGATCAGGCGCACGCAGGCTTTTGATTGGCTGCTGCAAGGCCGGCCTCCATGTGCCTGTCACATGACCGCCTTCTCCTTCTGCCCTGTAGAGGAGATGGTAGAAGGCTGGGCTCTGCAGGAGGCAAGACCTGGGCTGCGCTCGGCCATGCTACAAGAAGTAACCAGCTGGAGGGGAGTGCAGTGCGCTTCCATCCTGCCAGTCAGCCTGACATTGCGCCCCCAGTGCGCCCACCTGATGGCAACGCCAGCCCTGAAAGGGAGGGGTATAATTTTTTGCAGATACATTTTCAGCCGAAATTTCGGCGCATCCCTAATAAATATGATGTAAGACAACTCTTAATCAGAAAAACATCAATATATAGCCTACAATGAAGACCTGGGTTGAGCGGCTTCAAAAGCACTCCGTACAAATCGTAAATGCAAGGCAGAGAGTAATGTCAATTGTGTTTGGTGTCAAAGTCATGAAGTTTTAGGAGACCACCATTAAAGCCATTCTATACATTCTCAGAGAACCCTCAAAAGTATGATGTACCAAAGAATCCATTAACTACATAAACAGTTCAATATGCAATAAGTCTTATGGAAAGTGATTCATAAAAAATACTTCGGTTAGAAACAATACACAATAATATTAGGTGTTGGTACCCTTGGCACCAGAGGAATACTCTAAGCACAAAAACAAGACAACTTTAGCATAGCATGTATTTGAAATTATCCAGTGTTTTAAGTTCTTCACTTTAATAGACCGTTCTTTTAAAGCAGAGTACATTAAGGGAAACTTAAGACACCATTAAACTAGAGTTCCTAGAACCATTCCCTACCATGTGTTGGCATAAAGAGGAGGGCTCTGATAAGACAGATAATATAACTTCCATAGTGGGTGGCGCTATAATTCTTGGAACGTCCCTTCAAGATCAGAAAGCTTGACTAATTGTCATGTCTGACAAATTAGTTTGTATTTCACGCAAATCTTAAATTATTTTGTTTGAAATAGTTTCACATTGTCTTATGGGCAGTGCATTGTTGGCAGATTAGCTGAGAGCGTATGGCTACAGCTCCATAATTAAGATTTAGCAAAATATTGAGCAGTGAGATTGCAGGGTTATGAACTATTCATCAAAACGAATTAATTAAGCGAAGGGTTGTTTTGGTGCTAAGAGTATCTTGAAAATTAATAGAATACAACCATCTAAAACAAAGCAAATGTCTACTTTGTAGGCAGAAAAGCGGTGGTCAATAAGAGTTACCTTATCAAAAGCTTCCTGAACAGTTGCAGATTCTTTTAAGAACTCTTCAACAAATGAGTTAACATAGCGTTGCCTTGTTTCATGTGGCACTTTAGAACTAGTCTCCTGTACAACTGAAGGCTTTCTGCGAGTAGGTATCTAAAATGGTTAAGTATAATTTGTTTTAACATATTTGCCATCCATTATTAAAAAAAAAAAAGGAATTTTATGTTACATAGTTACATAGCTGAAGAGACTTTCATCCATCAAGTTCAGCATTCCTTGCATATGTTTTTGCTGTTGATCCAAGGGTAATCTTTACCCTTTAATGGCTAATGGAGGTATGTTCTCAATCGATTTAAGTGCTAGCATAGAATTCCAAACTCAATTAGTGTATCAATAAGGTTATGACTGCAATTATTGAACATTCTGAATTCAAAAGACATCCTTCCACCCAGCTTATACCTTGTCACAGGATAATTAATAAATCCAATGAACAAAAAAGCAGATAAGGGCATTTGAAATTACAACACGATCAATGCTTTTGCAAAGACAAACTAAGTGGCGCCATCCTCAAGTCGATGGAATCCCACAAGAAAGCCTAGGGATTTAATCAACTCAGGGGGGCAGTGAGCCTTTGAGCATATAGTTTTTTTCTGACATTAAAATACAAGTTAGTAGGGGTAACCAGTCTATGTACAACCTGTAAATAAAGTAGTGTGCTAAAAGGGTAAAGGACCACCCCTTCCTAGTGGTACATAAGTAAAATAATTAAGGAAATACCCACACACCAAATGCAATAAAAATAAACTTTATTAAGTTTAAATAGAATACAAAATCATATGTATGCCTATAACTATTGACACATCTATCTCAACATTAAATATACTGAGAAAATACAGAATACACAAGAGTATGGATACCAAATTTACAAAAAGTAATTCATGCAAGATCGATTAATTGCTGTACAATATTACCTGACAAGTAAACAAAAAACACCCAATGTTTCGATTGGATGGCCTATGATTTTGTATTCTATTTAAACATCATAAAATTTGTTATTTTTATTGCATTTGGCGTGCGGGTATTTCCTTAATCATTTTGATTTCTTCTAACATTGCCACACACGCTGGCATGGGAATATTTATTGTACAAACTGTAGCACAAGATGAACACATTTTATATAAAATACAGAGATCCCGGTTATATGCCCTCATTTATTTTATCCAATATATAAGTTTATAACTTTTGTAAAGGTACACAAATTGTGTTTATTTTATCAGATATTCCCAGCAACACCTGAGTTACAATACTACAATTTGCCAGAATATGCTCTACTATGTTAACATTTCAGCTTAAAACTCCAATTTGGAACCTTCATTGGTGTTGTCTGAAGGGTCCTTTTTTGAGGGACATTGGATCTGAATGTTGTGGCAAGTGCGCCCCCTTGAAAAAATCCACCGAGCGAGTTTCTGCATGGCACAACTGGTTGAAGTTCCACCAAATTAACATAAACTGGAAAACAAAACAAAAAACGTCCATGGGTACTAGGATAGTTTCATAACTATCAACATGTACAAAACCATGATAAATCACTTTGACAACTAAAGTGTGAGGAATTGTTGAAAAATACCAGCCATAGTGTCTGACAGAGGATGTATCACAAACCGTACTAAAACAAGTGAACAAAAACTTACTAAAGAAGTTAGACATACCAAAAGATTCAAATTTGTGTTCAGAAGTAAAGACCAAAACGAAAAACAAAATAAAAGGAAATTTGAGCCAGAATGGCACAATTGCTGTGAAATGTTTATCACTAAGCACTCTTACAACTATCCATTCCTGCATCAAATCACCTGTATACTTTATTCAAAAGTGCACTTCTGATGTGTAGCTTCTTGCATTATGTTGTCAAACATTCATGTTTTCAGTAAGGAAAATAAATAAAGTCCTACCCATTTGTCCAAAATTATGATAGGCAGGTGACAAGCATCCAGTGACTTTTTTCTGTGCTGAAGCTACAAAGGCCTGACCACTTTTAACATCAGATGTTATTTGCACAGCTTGTTGCTGGACATGCAGTATTCTGGTATGAGGTATTTGTTGTGGAGCAGGTCCTCGATAGGGAACAAGTATTTTTCCACTTGATTTTACCTAGAGTTAAACATTTTAGAAAGGTAAGGTCGAAGTTTAAAATATACATACACACATATACATATATATATATATACACATATACACACACTTTTTTTAATTTTCCAGGGTCTCTAAAAGCCAACCTCTATCACATTAAAGACTCTGGCCTCCCACCCAATTTCTCGGGGACTGTCATGCTTTCAGGGTCCTGTCCCTACTTTGTCCACCATCTGATGTTCTCATGCATCCACTATTCTCAGGGCACTAAGAATCTCCTGCCAAGAGCACTGAAACCGTAATCTCTGCATGGTCTGCCTTCAGCGGGTTGACACGGATAATTGACATGCAACCTAGCGTGCAATAAACACTTGACTAACCTGCTTTTGCACAGAGTTAGTGAAGTCAATTACATTACTGGTCTGCCTTCTTTAATTCCACCCATTAGCACCTGCTTTACTAGATGCCAATTTTGGTGGGGGGGTTCTAGTTCTAATGGTGCTTACACAGACCATTTAAATCAATTAAATTGTGTCTAGTAAAAATTTAGGTTAAAACAAAAAGTTAACCATGTAACAAAATGTTTTATCGGTGTGTTATCAATGTCTACATGCAACGCTTTCAAAACTCAGAAATAAAGAATGGTAAAAACAAAAAAAAAACACCAAGAGTTAAACTATTAAAAATGTACTTTTCAGACTGCTGAAAATCTTGGACACCATCTGTAGTGTATCATGTTCCATTTATATTAAAACAAGAACATTCGTTAGTATTTAATGTTACACCAGTGTAAGTCAAGTGCATCCACAGTAACAAACATAGCTACAATTAGGAGAATAGCCTCTAAACCATGTAAAGCCTATGTAATTTGTGCAGTATCTAACGTAGAAGTAATATGCACGCAGGACAAGACTACAGAGTAATTTGAGCCATGTTTATAGCAAGAGGGAAAGAACTGAAAACCTAAACAAAAATAGTTATTGCATTTACATTATTTCAATTACATTATTGTATTATCCTGCAATACCATTCACACATTATTTCTGTAACATTGCAGATATAATTGTGGGGAGGAGAAATACATATACTAGTTCTAAAGACAAATCCTATAGTAAGCAGGCAACCACAAAATCCAAGAATACATAGCACAAAATGCTAAGACATACAGCATCTGGTCTTACTTCACATTTTGCAGATGGATGTGCAATTCTTTTCTTCTGTCCAGGAAGAACATCACTTCCCTTTGTTTCTGGCATGTCTAGTTTAGACTGATCCTGGAAAACCTGAAGATGGTAAAACACAAGTTTAGTCCGTACGTGTGTGTACGTAATGACCTTGCTATGCTGCTGTTAACTAAATGTATACCAAATACCCAGCTACCAAGACATGAACAGACTCCTTTAGTTCAGCACTCCAACCCTGTACTTACAGGAGTACTACTATTCGTGTTGAAAGAAAGTCATGAATTTGAGGAATGCCTCTAACACTCATGTTACAATTAAACAAGGATTCATCAGTACTAGATTACTTTGTTTTAACGGTGGCCTATATGAGGATAAACAGGCTTCCCAGCTGTCCCGTCTTTGGCAGGACAGTCATTTTTAGGTTCTATCCCAGTTTCCCAATTTTGTTCCCTGGTGTTCCACATCTAGGGATACCAGGGAGTTATCTTCAGACAGCAAGCTCATATGCATTATTAGATGCACATGCAATGTGCAGAATGCACTAGGACCATGCAGAAAGCACTGCAGCACTTTCCAGGACCCACCCACTCCGATTCCATTCATCCTATTAGGAGGTATGTGATTCCTATGAATAAATCCCAGCGTTGCAGTTTTATTGCATATATGAGCTATAAGAGACCAAGTGTTAGGGGTGGTATCATGTAGAGGGGGATGGAAAAGGATCAAATTGCAGGTTTCACAGCATACCTATAGATGAAAATACCAAAAGATCATAGACTTTTACCTGATTTGCTTCCTTGTTTGTTTCTGCAAATTCATTGAAAATTCTCAGGCATTCTTCCATTGGGTCATCAGAGTCAGAAAAATCTGAGTCGTCCTCTGAGGCATCTTCCTCAGATGAATTTAAGACAATAACATTGTTTACTTTTTCAAGAGATGCAGTTTGACCCGAAGATTCACACTTTGTGGAAGGAGTCATTAATTCAGTTGTAGTTTCACACTTATTTAAAGCAAATGTTTGTGATGTTATGGCACAGTTATTTCCCTCTAAGATTTCTTCCCCGCTAACATAGGTACTGCTTTCATTCAACATCTTTTCAGGCACCAATAAATCTTTCAAATCAATATCATATTTTGGGATTACATCAGGATCTGAAAATGGAATGTGGTCATAATTCACAACGTTTTGGTCATAATTTAAAGGACAATAGTGTTTTTCACTTTGCCCTTCATGTTGCTCAGGTGAAAGTGAACTCTTTATATTTGTCACCAACTCTGTTGTGATAAAGGTTTCACTTTTACAATTAAGTGTTTGGTTCTCATCAAAATCAGCAGTGGCTGTAAGGGACTCTTTTGGAGATTTGGCTTCAGAATTGGACTCCAATTCAGACTTTTCACATACCTCCACTTTGTTTTCTAAATTGGAAACACATTCAATCTTACCCACAGCATTGTTCAGAGTGTCTGCAATATCTACAGCTTCTGTTATTTCAACTATGTGTACAGACTTGGTTTCATTTGGACAAAACTTTTTTGCCCGTTGTTTCTTGGCTACTGCTGGTAGAGGTGGGGCATCAATAACAAGCACATCGTCTTCATCAGATTCTTGGAGTTTTATCTCTAACCTAATTGGAGATGCAGCCCTAGATTTCTTGGGTGGGGTATTATCAAAATCCTCATCACATTTCAAACGTTTTGATTTAAACTTTCCATTTTCTTTTGCGGCAGATCCAAAAATGCCTGCAGAATAGTTGAGCAGTGGGTCATACTCCAGATCAGTGGCAGGGCAACGCCGATCAACCACATACTTCTCATGTGGGACACAACCGCTTTTAAATGAACCAATAGTGTCAGTTGTCAATGCACTTCTTTTTAGGACGGCAGCTTGGTCATCAAGGCCTGCTGATATATTGCTATTGCTATCCATCTTAACTATAGGCAATTGTGTTTGAGGTTGTGTCACATTTTTGTATTGCAACAATTTCTTCTGCTTTTCTTCTACTTCATTCTTTACAGCTTCTATGGCCTTATTAAGTCTCTCCAGTTCTTGAATGGTTTTCCCTAGAATATATAAATATCACACAGATGTTAAGCATATACAAGATCATGTACTGGATCCCTGCAAACAAACTTCAACCATATTTGAAATTTTTATTTTGACAACTAAATTCAGGTTAGGTTTCACATTATGAAAACAAATGATATAATTCAATGGGAATTTCACACTTTTCTTAACGGTGAGCTACTGCTAGGCCAATAGTGACAGCAGGTACCATTAGCCTAACAGGGAGCCCAACCAGACAGACTGGGAAGTCTGAATCACAGACTTCCCAAATGCAGCTCATTGCTCTTGGCAATTGCTGCCTCTGGAGCTCAGTGCAACCAAGCGAAACAAACCAGGAAGTAACAGGACCTGTTTTCTGCTTGAAAAGCCAGTGGGTGTAATCAATATAAATTTCTTAAAGTGTCAATTTCTATTAAAATCTGCACTTTTTCCAAAATGAGAAAATAGGAAACTCTTCACACAAAGCTTTTCATTAAGCCTAGCTGCTTTAGGGGTCGGAGGTATCCCTTTAACTGCGCTTGACCCAGGGCTTGACAAATTTGCTTGGAATCTAGGAGCCAGAGAAATCAACGCCATAAACACAACTCTTAAAGGGACAATATAGTCACCAGAACCACTACAGCGTAATATAGTTTTTCTGAAGTCTATAACCTGTCCCTGAACATTTTTCAATGTAAACACTGACTTTTCAGACAAAAGGCAGAGTTTACATTGCTGCCTGGTGACACTTCTAGCGACACTCAGACAGCACCTACGTTAATGTTCCACATACCTCTATAAGAAGTTAAATTGGCGCAGTGGCATTCTGCTGTGCACACGCAATAGTCTCACAATGCTTTTCTACGGGGGAAGCATTGGATTGGCTGAGATCGTCAAGATTGATGATCTCAACAATGGAGGTGGGGACAGCTGCGACGTCACCAGCACGGCGTGTTAAAGGTGAGCAAAAAAACACCTTTCACATGGGATTGGAGGGAACACACCCACAGACACAAGTATTAATTTATTTAAATCCACCCAGTTGCCCTACCTCTGGAGAGATGGAGTGGATAGGCTTTCCCTGTGGGTACAGTGGGGCTGCTGTCATCTCCCTACTCTTCCCTCTGCGCACCATTTAGTGAGCCAGGGGGGCCAGAGTGACATAACCAGGCTTCCATTATCACTGCAAGGAACACAAAAGGAGCTGAGCAGGGAGATTACAGTTCCCTCTGCCTCAACACTAAGTCAGCCGCCCGCCTCCATCCTTCAGCTCTCCATGAGCCAGGTGCCCGCCGCCCTCCATACCTGCCTCAGCAATACAGGGGACAGCCTCCCCTATCCTCACCTCTGCTTGCCAGAGCCCTCTAAGATCTGCCAGCCAATGCTCTCAGGCAGGCAGTCACCTCTGGGGCTGAACAGGCTCACAAATCCCAGGCGCCAGTACAAGTTTCCTTGTCGCCACGGCGACCTGGGATTTGTCAGCCCGGCTTAACCCATTCAATACTGCTGACCGAGTAACTATTAAAGTATTCATACAGCACTAGAGTAAGGCGATCACTGAACTGCTGTCTGCACTGAGACCAATGTAAAACCCTTATTGTAACAGCCCGGAGACAGGAGCTCATGGAATCAGAGCATGTTCTCTAGCATGTTACAGAGCTCCACGTTCCATGGAATGTGACACACATGCAGATAGAGCTGGTAATGTAGAACACAGTCACAGTGGGCCACATCCACCCTTACCCAGGACTTCCTTGGGAGGGCAGGAAGCCGCCTGGGAGGGAGCGCACGGCCTGTCTCCGGCCCCCGCGGGGGGCACATGGCGGAAGTGGCAGTACGGCCGCTGACAGCCCCCCGGCTCCTGCCAGAAGGGGCATTGCACGAGCTGGAAGTATCCGGCGGAGCTCAGCATTCCTCCCCGCGCGGAACCGCGTCCGTCATCAACAACTTCTCCCGCCAAAACTTGGAAGCCAATCACTGCGGCCGTAGCAGGCTTTATGCATTACGTCATGGGCCTTCGTCCAATCAATGTTCGCTTATAATTTAGAGGCGGGGCCCGACCTCAGCCATTGCAGCCGAATGACGGCAGGTGTGAAGGTACGGCTGTGTTTAGTGTAAGGGACGCAGCACTCCGGGTACCCGGTATACACACACAGAGAACATACATGGCATGTGTACTGCGGCAGACAGGGTCAGTGTGTGTATGGAGGGGGTGTCTTCCCAGCACAGACTGAATAGTGTATGCAGGGCAGGTGCCGGGGTAATTAGTGATTAGCTGCCTCTCCTCTAATTTAGCAGTAACAGGGCTGGGTGTATGACAGAATCCCATGTGAACTGCAAATCATAGCTATATAGCTGCCTGCTAGCTAGAGTATGGATAGATTTGCTGATTGAGAAAGTGCATTTAGTTATAGTGCTTCGCAGTATGTAGATTTCAAATGCTGCAATTTGGAAATTAAAGGGACACTATAGTCACCAGAACAACTACAGCTTAATGAATTTGTTCTGTTGAGTAAAGTCAGTCCTTATAGGTCTTCAGAAAAAAGGTAGTGTTTACATTACTGCCTAGGGATACCTCCAGTGGCAGTCATTCAGGGCCACTAGAGTTGCTTATTATTATGACATTTAACCCCTTAAGACCAGAGGGCGTACAATTACGCCCTATTTTAGGCGGCTCTAAATGCCGCCGGGCGTAATTGTACGCCCTCCGGTCTTTTCTCACTTACCCGGTCGCCGGCGATCGCGGTGAAGGGGACTCCCAGGGAGCCCCCCCGCGCCAGATCTTCTTCCTCCAGTGCCACCCGGCCATGTGAGAGTGAGGTGATTGCGAGGACCCCACAATCACGTGGCTGGGGTAGCTGCCTCTTGCATTGGTCCCCCTGCTGGCTGGAAATGAACTTAAAATAAAATTAATTAAAAAGTAAAGTGTAAAAAAAAAAAATATATATATATATATATATATATATATATATACTTAGATCATATATATATTGTGTGTGTGTGTATATATATATATATATATATATATACATACACACACATACACTGTCTAGGTGTATTTTACTATTAATATATATATATATATATATATAAATATCAAATTACACGTAGACTGATACTTATTAAATATATATATAATTATTGTTATATATATATATATTTATATATAATATAAAAAAAAATTTAAATACGTTAAAAAATAAAATTAAAAAATTAAAAAATATATAAATGTGTGTTATTTCGTTCTAACTGTATTGTGATATTAATATATATATTTATATCAAAATACACGTAGAACGTAATAATATATATATCTACATAAATATATACCTATATATAAATAAAAATATTTAAAAAAAATTATATATATATATACATATATTAATTCTACATATATATTTATGTAATATTTTTACATAATTAGGTATCTTAATTAATTACAATTTGCGGGACCTGCCTGACAACCCATGCCGAAAGTAAAGGGAATTTAATTTGCTAGCACTATATTTAACCCTATAACTTTCCAAGACACCATAAAACCTGTACATGGGGGGGTACTGTTCTACTTGGGAGACTTTGCTGAACACAAATATTAGTGTTTCAAAGCAGTAAAATGTATTACAACGATGATATCGCCAGTAAAAGTGATGTATTTAGCAATATTTGTGTTCAGCGAAGTCTCCCGAGTACAACAGTACCCCTCATGTACAGGTTTTATGGTGTTTTCAAAAGTTACAGCGTCAAATATAAGGCTTGCGTTTCATTTATTTCACATTAAAATTCGCCAGATTGGTTACAGTGCCTTTGAGACCCTATGGTAGCCCAAGAATGAAAATTACCCCTATGATGGCATACCATTTGCAATAGTAGACAACCCAAGGTATTGCAAACGGGGTATGTCCAGTCTTTTTTAGTAGCCACTTAGTCACAAACACTGGCCAAAATTGGCGTTTTTTGCATTTTTCACACAAACAAATACTAACGCTAGCTTTGGCCAGTGTTTGTGACCAAATGGCTACTAAAAAAGACTGGACATACCCAATTTGCAATACCTTGGGTTGTCTACTATTGCAAATGGTATGCCATCGTGGGTGTAAATTTAATTCCTGGGCTACTATAAAGTCCCAAAGGCAACGTAACCAATCTGGCGAATTTCAATTTCAAATGTAACGTGCTATATTTGACCCTGTAACTTCCCAAAACGCCATAAAACCTGTACATAGGGGGTACTGTTTTACACATGAGACTGAATACAAATATGTGTATTTTATTGCAGTAAAAGCAAACCGTATTATGACATTGACAGTTAAAATGTCATGTAGAACTAAAAAAATCTAATTTTCTCCCATTTATTTCATATTAAATTATGTTTCATAGCTAAATATTTGATATTAAATGGAAGCCCCGTTTCCCCTGAATAAAATGATATATAATAAGGGTGGGTGCATTTACTATGAAAGGGTTGAATTACGGTTGGACAGACATGTAGCGCAAATGCCAGGTTTTGTTTACATTTTGTTTCGTTCACAACGTGTACATTTGGCTCCGTCCTTAAGGGGTTAAAGAGCGCCGTCAAATTCCGCAGCGCTTTACAATGGGTGGACGAACAGACCTGTAGTTGTAACCAGACAAGTTGGACACACAGGAACAGAGGGGTTGAGGGCCCTGCTCAATGAGCTTACATGCTAGAGGAAGTGGGGTAAAATGACACAAAAAGGTAAGGATAGTATTAGACTAGTGACAGTTGCAGAAGAGGAATCAGTCAGGAGCTATTAACAGTTTAATTGATACGCTTTTATGAAGAAGTGGGTTTTTAACTATTTTTTGAAGGAGTGGAGACTGGGTGAGCATCTAACGGAGGAGGGAAGTGAGTTCCACAGGAACGGTGCAGCCCTCGGGAAATCTTGAAGGCGAGCATCAGAGGTGGGAGTACGGACAGAAGATAGACGTAAGTCTTCAGCAGATCGTAAGGGCCTAGGCGGGACATACTTGTGTATAAGGGAGGATAGATAGGTGGGAGCAGCATTATGTAGAGATTTGAAAGCAAGAACCAGAATTTTAAATTGAGCTCTATATTTTATAGGAAGCCAATGTAGGGACTGACAGAAGGGTGAGGCATGGGAGATGCGGGTGGACAGGAAGATGAGCCTCGCCGCCGCATTCATTATGCACTGTAACGGCGCAAGTTGGGAAGCGGATTATAGTAGTTAAGGCGAGAAAGGACAGTGGAATGGACCAACACCTTAGTCGCATCTGGCGTTAAGTAGGGGCGGATGCGCGCAATGTTTTTGAGATGGAAATTACAGGCTTTGGCGATAGATTGAACATGAGGCTTGAAGGAGAGGTCGGAGTCAAAGAGAACACCTAGGCAGCGAGCCTGCGTGGTGGAGCTGATGGTAGCACCGTTGACTTGGAGGGAGGGAGACACTTGAGGGAGGAAAGACCAGAATTTCAGTTTTGGTCAAGTTTAGTTTAAGGAAGTGGGCAGCCATCCAGTTAGAAACAGCAGAGAGGCAGTCAGAGACACTAGTCAAGAGGGACAGGGAGAGATCAGGAGAGGACAGGTAGATTTGCGTGCCATCTGCATAGAAATGATATTGGAAGCCAAAGGAGCTAATGAGTTTACCAAGGGAGGCAGTATAGATGGAGAACAGTAGGGGACCAAGGACTGAACCTTGGGGGACACCAACAGAGAGGAGTTGGGGAGAAGAAGAAACACTGAAAGAGCGCTGGGAGAGGTAGGAGGAGCACCAGAAGAGAGCAGTATCTTGTAGACCGATATTGCGGAGGATGAGAGAAAGCTGTTGATGATCAACAGTGTCAAAAGCCGCAGACAGGTCAAGGAGAATTAGGATAGAGTAGTGACCACGAGATTTTGCAGCGAGTAGATCATTGGATACTTTGGTCAGTGCCGTTTCCACAGAGTGCTTAGCGCGGAAACCAGACTGAAGCAGGTCTAGCAGAGAGTTGGACTCGATGAAGTCTGTCAATCTCGCATACACAGTTTTTTCAAGGATCTTGGATGCAAAAAGGCAGTAGCGAGATAGGACAGTAGTTGCACGGGGAGTTAGGGTCAAGATTGGGCTTATTTAGAAGTGGGGTGTTTGAAGGGCAATGGAAATATACCAGAGGAGAGAGAGATTGAGAATTTTAGTGAGAGGTGGAGAAAGAGAAGAAGACAGAGTACGGATGAGATGCAAGGGAATTGGATCTAGGGAGCAGGTGGTGGAGCGGGAGGACTGGAGCAGAGCAGAAACCTCTTCCAATGTAGCGGGTGCGAATGAACATAGAACAGCAGAGGGAGTAAAGTTAGGAGAAGTATTGTAAGGGGAAGAAGAAAGATGAGAGATCTCTTCTCTGATTGTAGAGATCTTGTCAGTGAAGTGAGTTGCAAAGTCTGAGGCGGTCAAGTTAGTAGGTGGAGGAGGAACAGCAGGGCGAAGAAGAGAGTTAAATGTGTGAAATAGTCATTTAGGTTCGCGGGAGAGTGTGGTTATGAGGGTATTGAAGTAATTAACTTTTGCAGAGGAAAGAGCCAAGCTGTATGAGCTCAGCATAAATATATAGTGGAGAAAGTCAGATGCACAGTGAGACTTTCTACTACAGCGTTCAGCAGTTCTAGAGCATTTTTGGAGGTATCGAGTGAGCTTGGTGTGCTTCCTGGGTCAGTGCACAATGTGCAGCACAGACGTTTAGCGTGGAGATGCTGAACTTTCCCCATAGAGATGCATTCATTTTCAGCCAATCCAACACTTTCCCATGAGCACCCAGGATCGCCTATGCACACAGCACCCTCACACACAGCCCCCTTTACACTCATAGCACTCACACACATACAGCACCCCTCTCACACACGCAATCCCACAAGCAGGCACCAAACACATGCACGATACACTTTCCTGGTTCTTTTTG